TAAAAAAAAAAAAAAAAACACCTCGTTTCACTGTGCTCTGAGTCTCTGCATCCCTCCTTTGGTTGGGTTGATGGGCTTATTTCTAAAGGTGGAGCATGACCTCCTTCCTGATACCCCTTCTTTACTTGACTTACAGGATATCTCCCAGCTTGCCTGCCTTTCTTCTTCTTCTTCTTCTTCTTCTTCTTCTTCTTCTTCTTTTTCTTCTTCTTTTGGCCCTCCTTCTCAGTCTGGTTTGCGGCTTCTCCTAGTTTCCTCAAATCCTGAATGTTGAAGGGAAGTATTTTCCATCTACAGTCACTCCTTTGATGATCTTATTTAGTCTCTTGGCTTTAAATGCCATCTGTGTGCTGTTAACTCCCAAATTGATATATCCAGTCTAGATGTCTCCCCTGACCCTCAGACCTCCTGTCCCTTCCTCCTCCTGCCCTCTCACCATCTGTACACTAATGGACATTTCAAACTCCACACACCCAAAAATGAACTCCAGATAGTTGCCTCCCCAAAACAGCACCTCCTTTGTCTTTCGCATCTCAAGAAATGGCAACACTGGTCTTCCAGTTGTTTAGTCCAAACATCTTGGCTCCTTTCTGCCTCTGATATTCTACATCCAATCTCTCAGCAAGCTCTCTTGTCCCTACCCTCTAAATATATTCATATTTCAACCACTTCTCATCCCCCACCTCTGGATTATTATAATTGGCTCCCAATTGGTCTCCCTGCATCTACCACTCTCCCTCCTAAATCTATTCTTCATAGAACAGCCAGAGTAACTCTGTTAAAATGTAAATCAGATCATGTGGATCTTCTGCTCAAAACCCTTCACAGGATTCTCAAGATGGAGTAAAAGCTAAAATCGTTACTGTGACTTGCAAGGCTGTACTATCTGGCTCCTGCTACTTCTCTGGCCTCATCTCCTGCTCTCACCATAGTACACTATGCTCCAGCAATTCTCCACCCTTTGTACTTGGTCTCTCTGAAATGTTCTTTCCTAAACATCATATCAATGCCCTCCCCCTTCTTTTTCTTCAGACCTTTATTCAAAAGTCATCTTCCTAATAAGGTCTTCCTTGGCCTCCCTACCTAAAATTAAAAAAACTTCCCTCCCCGCTTCTCTGATTTTTCTCCTAGGCATTTACTGCTATCTTAAAACTATATATTTTATTTAACTTCTTTGTTGTTTATCTCTCCCATTAGAATGGAAGCTGCATGAAGAGATGTGTGTGGGGGGGTCTGTTTTGTTCACTATTATATACCCACTGTTTAGACTAGTGACAGGAATACAGTAAGGCACTCAGTAGGTATTTGAATGAATGGATGAAAAAGGTGGACAGTTCCAAGAGGCAAAATTTACTCTTTAATGAAAACTTTGTAACAACTAGAGCTGCTTGGAAACATAATCATGTTAACGTACACAGTACACTACAACTTAAACATGTAGTCTCGTCAAATCCTCACATCAGTCCAGGATAGGAGGAAGGCTGCATAGTTTCCGAAGCTGGTTGAAGACAAAACTAAATCCAGGTGGGGAAAACGACTTGTTAAACTTCACACATCTGGTGTGGTCAGGAGTAGAACTGTGGATGAATGCTAGCTCTAGAAGAGGCTGGTGGGTGATGGAGCTTAATGGGGGTTGGGTTTGAAGGACTGCCGTTGTCAGAAGGCATGATCTCTGAAGCGGAGGCTGAGTCAGAGGTTACTGGAACAGAAGCATCAGGGAAGGAGTGGGAGAGATGACGAGGCTGACCACTAATGTATTTAGCCCAAGCCTGGAGAGGGCAGCTGAATTCCCCAAAAGCAGTGCCTGAAGCTGACTAGTCACTCAAACCCATTCAAACCCATACATGATTTCAAATGCAGAACTGGAACTGGACGGGCGATCTTAAGAAACCTGTGAGTCCCCTGCGGGTCTGCAGAGTCTGGCTTCTCCACTGGAGTGTGAGGTCTACTGGGGGCAGGGACCATGTTCCTAGATTTTCCCCAGCTTCTAGCAGAGTCTGGAATATAGTATGGACTCAACTATTTTTTTAAGTTTATGTATTTTGAGAGAGAGAGTGCACGCAAACACATACATGCCCACACACTCACGCCCACCCCCCCCACGAGTGGGGGAGGGGCAGAGAAAGAGGGTAAGAGAGGGACTCCTAAGCAGGCTCCGCACTGCCAGCAGAGCCGGTCCCGCAGCTCCAACCCTCCAAGTGAGATCATGACCCGAGCCAAAGTTGGATGCTCAACCAACTGAGCCACCCAGGTGCCCCAGGACTCAACTATTTCTGTTGAAGCCGTACATAAATAAAGCATGAGCCCCAACAAGAAACTTAAGGTGAGAATGGGAAGGCAGATGAGGTGTAATGTCACTCAGCAATTCTGGGGTAAAAGTGGACAAATTTTCCTAGGACGCCACAGGACGAACAGTCCTAGTACTAAAACAGATTGCTGCTAGTTTTCAGTAAGCTTTCGCAAGCACAGCCAGGCTAAACACGGAGGGGCGGGGCCAGGCTGGAGAGGCCCCTCGGCGGACGCTCGAGGAGGGGCCAAAGAGTAGGCAAATTTCCAACCTTAACGACGTGACTAAGGTGTAGAGCGTCACATCCGGTGTGGAGGGCGGGAACGAGAAACAAAAGGAGAGCGAAGGCGCATGCGTTGGTGCTTCCCCGGTTCTGGTGGGCCCTTCCGCTCAGGCCGAGAGAAGTGCTTCCGGGTCGCTGCCGGCTGCCGCCTCCCGGCGCGGTAAGTACGGAAGCCAGGCTGAGGCTGCTGTCTCTCTGCCCCTTCTCTTCTTCCTCCCTCGGAGAAACCCCGTCGCCCTGACCCGGCTCTTCAGGAGTTCCGTGCCCACACTCTTAACAGTAAAGAGCTCCAGCTCATTGGCCGCTTCCTCGAGGCTAAGCTCCACCCCGTCGCACAAGATCCGTCACTCATTGGTGTCACTTTCTGTCACCCAGCAGTTCTTCCAGTTAATTGGCCCTATTCAGGCCCCGCTGCTTTTGCGATTAGCAACCCTATAAAGGGCAAATGCCTGTTCGAATCCCGCCCCTGCATTCTTCTTGTTGGGCCACCCCGCCGTCATTTTCATAATAAGCGAAGAATGGGCGGTGGCTTTGCCGCGAGGGGTAGGCTTTCGGAGCCTCGGTCTCTCGCCTCGTACTTACTGGCCGTTGAGGATGGGTGTTGTGTCAGTGACACGGGCCGGGAAGCTGAGGTTTACTAAAGGACAGCGGCTGGCACAGGATCAGTCAAATGAATCAGGGCAAAAGTAGAACTAGACGTAGGTCCTTTTCTCCTGCTCATCTCTTCTAGTGCCTGGCCTCGATTTCTTCCCCGTAGGAATTCTATGCCCCACCTCACTGTGTGACCTAGAGACAGTGTTGCTTGTCCCAGGGCCTCGATTTTCCTGTGAACTGAAAGGTTTTAATTCAGATTCTCTGGGACCTTTCTGGTCCGCTCCCTCAGCTACTTAATCTGTGCTGAATTTACGTATTCTCTCATGTTAGTTCATTCAGCCTAACATTTACTAATTTACGCATTTACTCATGCCTTTAGAATGCCTTTCTGAACCATATTGCACGTGGTAGCCCATCCCCACCCCAGTTTGGTTGTGGTTCATGAGAGAGGTGGTTAGTGCCCTAAATTTCTGACGTGGAGTAAGAATGGAATGGATTCTCATAAAAGGGCAAAAAGTAGGTCTTCATGTTTGGAGGAGGTAAAGATAGTGTCAGTGGAGCCCTACTACCTCTAATTTTGTTTAATTTTGTAACGCCAGTCTGCATTCTGGATTCATAGCTCTACATATTGGCTTCCGTTTTCCACTCCTTGAATACCTTGCAAACAGCTTTACTTCTCCACAAAGTAAATTAATTATCAGAATAATTATGAGGGTGGGTATAACTGTTCTCCCCCATTTTACAGATGAGGAAACTGAGGCTTAGAGAGGTTAAGTGACTTGGCCGAGGTCAAACAGCTAGTAAGTGGTGGAGCCAGGACTCAAACCCAGGTCTGTCTGATTCCCACAAGGAAGAGCTATTTCCCCCTACCTTCTACTCCACCCCATCCCCAAATCAGACTAACCAAATAACTGAAATCAAATACTTCTGATCTGTATTCACCTGGCCCTTTACCTCAGTCTAGGAGCCATGTCCACCTTGTTTCCCTCACTCTTCCCCCGTGTGACTGAGACACTGTGGTTTAATCTGGATCGACCCTGTGTGGAGGAGACGGAGCTGCAGCAGCAAGAGCAACAGCATCAGGCCTGGGTGAGTAAGGACCTAGCACAGTGGTGGAGCCTTAGTCAGGGACCTCCGCTGCCTTTCACAGACCATGATCCTGGAGGAGCTTTTTGCCCTGAGCTGGGAACAATCAAACTGGGAGGGAGGAGGCCTAGGGTCCAGTCTTTATGCTACTGATTTATGGTGGGACCATGGGATTTCTGGGCCAGGTTGGAGCCCAGGCTCTTTTCTCTAACTCATAGGAAATAGTAATTTTGACTGTATTGAGGATGTAGCAGATGCCATATTCTCTATCAGTCTCTCACTTTACCCTCACTGTAATCTCATAGGGCAACCATGGCCCAGAGAATTTAGTTGGATCCAGTTTATAAGTAAGTAGCAGATGATAAGAAACAAAGGGATTGACTCTTTCTAGAAACTGAGAGGAAGCTTCTCCATACTTGGGGGCGGGGGTATCTCCTTAGGGGCAGAGTGGGCCAGTCCCATGCCCCTGACATGCCCTGCTTGGGCCCTGACCCTCCTCTCCCCCTTTGGCCACAGCTCCAGAGCATCGCAGAGAAAGACAACAATCTGGTACCCATTGGCAAGCCGGCCTCAGAGGTGAGTGGTTCCAATAGGTAGGGCTTTGTGGGGCTCAGGTGGACTAAAGCTTTGCTCTAATTCTGAAGTCCTACCTCTGACTCCAGAGCAATTGTGGTCCCTCAGCTCTAGGCAGAGGCCATAAAGGGGATCTAGAGTGGGTGGCCATTGGACCTAGCACCAAGGTCCTGCAAAACATGCTCCAGTCTGCTAGACTCAAGGCGGGGGGCAAGTCTGGGGAATGGAGGGTCACTCACTGCCCCTGAGAAAGGCTCCAAGTGGACCAGCCCTTGAAGTGGTCCAGGCAAGCCTATAGAGCCTATAGGCTCTCCCCTGCCTTGCCAGCACTATGATGACGAGGAAGAGGAGGATGAAGATGACGACGAGGATAGTGAAGAGGACTCAGAGGATGATGAGGACATGCAGGACATGGATGAGATGAATGATTACAATGAGTCACCTGATGACGGAGAGGTCAATGAGGTAGGCAGGGGTGTGGGGGTGGGCCCCTGCCTGTGACCTAACTGGTGGCCAAGGATTCAGAGACTCTGGATCCAACCAGGGGCAGGATCTGGGACTACGGCCGACTGGGTGGCTGAGGCCCCTCCCCACCCACACCTAGCCTTCTCTCCAGGTGGACATGGAAGGCAACGAACAGGATCAGGACCAGTGGATGATCTAGGTAGACAAGGCAGGGTGGCCTCAGGCAAATTCCAGGCCAGCCCAACTTACCCTGCACCCCCTGCAGAACCAGCTGATTGCCCCAGTGCCTGAAAGCTCACCCTTGGGTATCTCTTCAGCTGCTGCCAAGAACTGGTCTCCTTGGCTCCTCCTAGGCCATCACTTTGCCCTTGAGTCTCCAGGGCCTGAGCCCACCCCACCTTTGTGCCCATTACCTCACCCCTTGGTTGCCAGGTATAGTCTCTTTCTAACTCCCTTTAATAAAGACACAGGAATGATTTTATTTTTTTCCCCGTGTCTATTCCCTAATTGTTGGTCGGGCCCAGAGGAATCCAGCATCTTCTCTTGAGCTTCAGGGAGAGGGCCTACAAGGGATTTCAGGCAAGCCTACTGGATCATGTTGTCCAGGGCTAGAGGTGGCCCTGGCCCTGGGCCCAGGCTCCATTACCATTTTCTCTGGCTCAGCTTGTACCCATTCCTTCAGAGCCTCTAATTCAATGTTTACTGTTTCCTCTGATCCTAACTGGAATTGCATGGGCTGAGGAGGGAAGGCTTCTGAGGCCTAGAGCTAGGAGGCCCCTGCAGATTTTCCAGCTAGCTTCCTTGGTGTTAAGAGAGATTAAATCTTCAGGCAGCACAGGGACTCCCTTGGAGTCACCCAGAAAATCAGTGATAGAGTTGGGTTGGGAGCCCAGGTCTCTTGCCTGTCAATCCATGGCTCTCTGGAAGGAGGGGGGCAATGGAACCAAGCATCCTGATAGAACTTGATGTCTCAGGTCAGTGTAGAACTGGAGTGGGGTAGAGGCTGGAGGACAGCCTCCCCAGCCCTGAGTCCAGCATGTGTCAGGCCACAAGCAGGGAGAAGAATGGATGTTCTGAGGTCCTTGCTTCGGTGGGGGTGGAGAGGCAGCAGTAAGTGCCCCTGGGCCTGGACCTCAGCCAGGCCCTACATAGGTGAGCTGGGCTATGCCGTCCTTGATGGCAGGGAAGTCTGGGAGGCCAGTGTGGTGGAGGCGGCAGCGGTAGCGGCCACAGCTCTTGGCATACTGCAGGAAGCGGGGTGCACCAGGGAACAGCGCGTGGTCAGCCAGTACAGTGGCACCAGCTGGCAGCAGGGCATGGGCCTCCAAAAGCTGCAGGTCTCGCAGGTAACGTCGGGGCCGGTGTGCCAGGAGCACCAAGTCTACCTGACTCAGCTGGTACTGGGTTCGTAGGTGTGGGATCACCTCCTCTGAGCTACTCACGATGAGCTCCACCTGTGGGGATGGGAGGAGTTGAAGGTGAGGGTGGGAGGGTCTGTTCTCCCATACCAGACTTCACCCGGATCTGGCTTACTTTATGTCATTTCCTCTATCCTCAGAACCCAAGAAGTCAGGATCAGTATTGTGATTTCCATTCTGCCAGTGAGGAAGCTGAGATTCAGAGGATAAGTCCTTTGCCCAAGGTCATAACAGCTCACAAGAGGTAGACTTAAGGTTTGGACCCATATTTGCTGGTCTCCAAAGACCTTCCTTTTAACTCCTCCTTTGTCATCCAGCAGCAAATATGAGCAAATGACTTGGAACAGACAGGAGTTCACACATCACCCAGGGTCACAGTCTCCTACTGTGCTGCCTTCTCCTAGGTGGGATTCCTTTACTGGGGAGGCCTGGCTAGGGCAAGGCTGGGGGTGGAAGGGAAGATACTAGGGTCAGGGAGGCAGGGGCTGACCGTGCGCTCGTCGAAGCCAGCCAGGCGGATGAGTTTTTCAGCCACTGCTGCGGTGCGTGGGTTCCACTCCACAGTGAGAAGGCGGCCCCCAGGGGGCAGGGCACGGGCAATAAGCAACGTGGAGTACCCACAGTGGGTGCCCAGCTCCAGCACGCAAGCAGGAGCCTTCTCCTCCACCAGCCGCATCAGGATCTGACCTGGGGGGGAAGATGGCTTATTGCAGCAGACATGGGAGATGGATTCAGGGCCCCTGATAGAAAGGGATCTCAAATGTCCACCTGTCTCACTGTAGCCCTCAACCAGCTGGGGTCTCCTCCTTGGACTACAGCTCCAGCTGCCTCGCTCGTCCTCTGACCCTCCAGGCTTTCGTCCTTCAGTCTCATCTTCGTACCAGCCACTAGCTATCTTTCCAACAAACAAATGTGACCCTGTTGCTCCTTGGTTCCTATGATCCTAAAGGCCTTTGGGATTGAACTTGGGATCCTCAGCCTGACATTCAGGACCTTCTTGGACCTGATCCTATCCAACCTTTCCAGCTCTTCCCATCTGTAGACTGTACCACAGTCCTCCCAAACAACTGTGCCCAGAGTCAACCAAGTCATCACTGGCTCATTCCTTCATGGTGCATTAGTATATGTGACTGACTTTGCCCCTTCCTACCCCTGTCCTTATCTGCTTGGCCAAATTGAAAACAATCCTTATAGGCTCCATTTAAGTGTTGCTTCCTCCAGGAAGGCTAAGGCAGAAACAGGCACCAGGCTCCTGAGAGACCTTGGCTAGAACTTCCAGTTTCATTCCTCTTTGTTTTGTTCACTGGGTATCTTTCTAACCTGGGAATTGGAAAAATTTCTTCAGACTCTAAAAGCACTTGTGCCAGGAGCTGGGACTGAGACAAAGCCAGGTAGCTATCCTGAATGGGATGTGGGAGCCTCCACAGTGAGGGGAGAATGAATCAGCACAGATAATTACAAAGTTACGGATTATGTGCTGAGATGTTATCCCCTTTGTATTATGCCCCCTCTGAGGCTAGCATTTATGGCTGATTCATCTCTGTGGCCTCTACCTCCTTTTCCAACCTAGCACCTAGTACATGCCTAGTACAAATGGGATGGCAGTAAGTGTTTGCTATATGAATGAATAACTTTGCCCAGCTCCCTCATTTGCAGAGGAGAAAAAAGAGACTCAGGATGAAGAACCTGCCCAATGCGCCCAGTAGGCACTGGCAGATCTCAGACCTTCCTTACCATCTTGGGGGTATCTCCTGGAGCAGAAGGCTAGGGAACACTGACCTTTGACAGGCCCCATGTGGCCCAGGTACTCGCAGTGGCTGCTCCAATGGTCCAGGGTGGTGAGGATATGACTGGGGTCTCCAGGCAGGGCATGAGTGAGCACATAGCTGAAGGCCCGTTCCTCAATCTGCAGCCCTGACAGGCAGTCTCGGAGGCTCCGCAGCAAGACCATACGCACCAGCAGTCGGAAGTAGTGACGGTACCGCACCAGCAATGTCACCACCAGTGGCAGGAAGGCCAGTGCGATGGCGGGGGACATAGTCCCTACCCGGGCTCTGGGGTGAAGGAAGGCAGACAGGGAAACCCACACCCACCATTGCTTGTCATTTGTATTATCCCTATATTTTACAAATCATGGCTCAGAAAGGCTAAGTCTTTTGTGCAGAGTCACACAACAGAACCAGGATTTGAATCTGAATTGGTCCAATTCCAAGCTCATGTACTTTCAAGGAATTCATGCTAGTCTACGTTCTACACCCAACCTCAAACCACCTCTTCCCACCTCTGCCCCCTGATTCTGTCTTCACCTTACTTCTCCCACCCATTTCGCCTCATCTCTGTCGTCACCCCTTCAGGACCACTTTCCACAGTCTTCGGAAATATCCTACCCACCCCCCCCCCAACCGCCTGCATCTCCTGATGAGATTTCTTCCCACCCCTCCATCTGCTCTTCCCTGTGGGTGGGAGGAGTCCTTGATTCTATATTTCTTCTCCAGTTGTCTCCCCTCCCCTGCATTCACCTTTTCTGTTCTCTCAGAATTCCTTGTAAAAGCATGTACACACACAGCACATGCTTCCCCCCTACTCAAGCCTCTTCTCCCAAGCCCTATCCCTAATGGGGGGGTAAGTGCCTTCTCCTCTCCCATACCTTGAACCATCCATCCACCCCTTCCTCCAGATCTGACCCTCGTGAGCTCCTGGTGGTGGTGGGGACTAAAATTGAAGGTAAGAGTGTATAAATGGATGTGAGTAGGTGAGTGATAGTGAGTTTGAACTCGTGTGCTTGGGGACCCACACTCAAGAGCCCTGCTTACCTGTGCTGGAGACTTCTGCTTGGGGAAGATCAGAGCCTAGAACAGGAGGGGGAGGCCTCAGGGCCAGAGAACTCTGAGGCCGGCTGGACTTGCTCTCAATTATTGATGCAGAAGCTGCTGCTGTTACCTGAGACATGTGGTTCAAGTTACTAGCTGCAGGAACAAGGTGGGGCTGACTCCTACCCTTCATGAGCCCTAAATTTACAGAACCCCAGGGTCTTGATTTGAGGGGTGATGACAGCTACTGGGTTTGGTGACCTCTCCTCCAACTCCTTGTATCAGGATATGGGGGCATGGTGTGAGCCAAGGAAATGGGAGGCTGTAATTTACTCAATTCAAAATTCAAGTTTTGCTTAAGCAATTGCCAGGGTGTGGGTCACAGGAGTCAGATCTTGTCTCATTCCTCCAGGAACTCCAAATTTAACAGAAGAGACTGACCCAGAAACAGAATAAAGCATAATGCAATTCTTCACGGATATGGGGACTTTAGGCTGTTCTGTGAACTTCTGTGTATCTAGACAGAGCAGTGTGTGGCACATCACAGACAGTAATTACTTGATTTGATAAATGAATGGAGCTACGTGGATGCCCAAAGAATGGGGTCAGAAATGGCAATCAGGAGGATATTGTTTGTATTCAGGCCTGAAGGCAGACCTCGTGGGGAGGCGGTGTGCCAACATGTGGAAGGTCCAGGAGGTCAATCAGGAAACTGCAAATAAATATTTACAACCCCTGCACCACCACCACCACCATTACCATTAACCCCCACCACCCCAGTGCTGAAAAGGGAGGCAGGTATCAGGCGCTGCAAGATGTTGAATAACAGACTTGTTGAATGACCAGTGTTCAGGGTCCAAGGGAAGATATGGGATGGTTCTAAGAAAAGCACTGATAGTCAGCTTTGTGAATTAGGATTACTAGAGTTGATGTAAAAAGGCAAGCCAAGATTGCAGAGAAATGCCTGAGGGCAAAGACTGCCAGGTGGCCTCTCTTCCAGGATTGAGCTCTGCTCCTCTTTGGCTTGTGAAGGAATAAGAGCTCTTCTTCCAGTAAGTCTCCCATCCCCAGTACAGGTTGAGAACTCCGTTGGGGGCTACAGTCTTTATGTGTCTTCCAACTTGGTGCTGGGCATCTGGGTCCAGTGTTTGTACACGGAGACTGTGTGCTCGAGGAGCGGAGGGCCTGAGTCCCACTCTCCCTTCGCATGGCATTTACGGGAGCATTTGGTATAAGTTCGCTCACTGACCCTGAAAGGTAGCCTGGCAGCCACGCGACCACACAGTACACATCAGGAGGGCCTCTTTAAGTCGGCGGAAGACTCCAGCTCCAAGACTGAGAAGACGCTGAAGTCATGTGACCTGCCCCTCCCTTTCATCGCATCACGTGCCTCGCGTCTTGTCAAGCGAGGTGAGCCCTCCCATTGGTTGGCGATGATCATGCGGTGGAGGCGGGGCCGGAAGCCAGGATTGCGGCGGTAGCTGCGGGGCTCTGGGAAGGGATAGGCAGGGCGGCGGGTGGCTGCTCGCTGGATGCAGCCACGGGTCATGTGACCGGAAGGGCTCCCGACGGACGCCGTCCCTCCTCGGCGCGGCCTGAGCGCCCGGCCCGACCCCGGCCATGGGGTGCTGCTACAGCAGCGAGAACGAGGACTCGGACCAGGTGCGGCCGCGGCGGGCGAGGCTCGGGAATGAGGGTTGAGAGGCTAGGGCGTGGGGCCCAGAAAAAAGCCTGCAGAAGAACGGGTCTGTGGGCCTCACTTAGTACGGAGGCCGGGAGGGGACAGATTACGGAGGGGACGCTCGGCCGGGCTCCTACCCCTGTTAAAGCCCCAGCTTTCTCTACACAGTCTCCGCTTTGGGGTGTGCAGGCAGCCCCCTGTCCCGCTCGTTCCCACCCCTTTCATGTTATCCTATCTTTAAACCTTTATAGCCTTCAGAATCCTCAGCCTCGGTCCTTGGGAAACACTGTCTCCCAAGCTTCCTGTGCTTTTTCTGTGCTTGTATGAGCGGGCTTTGTGAATCCATTCTAGAGATGGGTAAGCTGAGGCTCAGAGTTAGCTTTTCCTAACATGAATCAGGAATCTATGTATCTTCTCAGTCCCTCGAGTTGGAGAAGGAAGGTCACTGCGGTTTGGGGTCAGAGAAGGCCTCTGGAAGTAGGTGGCATTTGAGTTGACCAGTAAAGAATTTAATAGAGACCATGACATCAAGACGTTTTGGGGAAGCAACAAAACGGGTTTCACTTTGGCTGTATTGGATTAGAGAGGTGGGATGAGAGCTCAGTTTGACCTGCCTCGGTGCAGTTTTTGCCTGGGGCCTGCGGGTTCCTTTAGCTAGAGGGGTGCTTGCCCTGGGAATTTGACTGTAGACCTGATCCCTTTGCAGAAAGGATTAGGCTGGGAAGATTGTGCAGTTTTAAGTTCTTCCTCTTACCCTTGGTGCATTCTCACTTCTCCCTACATCTTAATCTCTGACCTGCCTGCCTGATCTCCTTTTTAGGAGTGGGGAGACCTTCCCAAGGATGAAGTCTCAAGCTCTTGCCTCTAAGCTTGGGTCCAACATGTGTTGGGTTTCAACACATTCTAGACACACAGAAGACAGAAGGATTTCAGCAAGTAGTTCACAGTCTGGTGGAGAGATGGTCACAGAAGTGGATTATATTTTTGGTATTTGGGAAGTCGGTCTTTCCCCAGTGACTCACATGAAACTATTTTGGGTTAAGAACTTAAGGTTAGGAAAATGCCCTTTGTTTGAGAGGCATGGGTGTCTCCTGGGCCTCATTAATTCTCCAAACCCCCAATGAACACATATTCCTATTTCCTGTGCCTTACACCTTAGGCATACATCATGTCCGCTATCCCTCACTTCACACCAGCCTCTTAGAGGAGACAGTATTCCTGCCTACTGGGAAAACTGTGGCCTAGTGGAAAATTGTCTCCTAAAGGATAACACGAACTCTTGCAGGGAACGAGTTAAGAAGGGTTAGGGCCTTCTCAGAAAGGATACCAGCTTCTAGCTGGGAGAGCTGGGTTTGTTGATCTCCTGAACTTTCATCTTCTTGACAGGCTCTCACTTCTGTTTCTAACCCCCAGAGAGGTGCTCAGTCAGTGCTGGGTGATTTGAGCCTTCATGTGGCAAAGGTCTACAAGCCATTCGCTATCCCAAAATCCCTTTCTCAGCTCTTGGGCAGGCCCCTCCCCCACTTTAATCTCTGCTCCTTTGTTACAATAAAAAGAAATAAATGACACATTTTCAAAGACTTTTTATAGTTCTCTCATTTGACGTTTGCCAAACGTTTGTCGTATAGGTGTAGGTTATGTACTTAAAGGTAAGGGAAAAGTTCAGAGAGGCTAAGATATTTAGCCAAAGATACAAAGCTGAGTAATGCTGTAGTCAACGTATCTTGATACCAAGCCATGTGCTTTATCCATTGGGCCAAGATATTCTTTTCAGCTATGCCCATACACCAGGTGACTACTCATGGACAGACCATGTATATGTGTCTGTGCTGGAGTCGACAGTGAAAGCCTGACTCCTGGATTGACACTGACTCAGGGACAAACCTTGGTGTGAAACACTTCCTCCATGCTTCACTTGCCCTTGGGGGTGGGGTGATGTTATTTGTTCACTCTGATTGGGGGTAGCCTGGCCTCTTCTGGGAGTCTAGGTCTCAGGAAAACATCGTTGTTCTTGAAGAATCCGCTTAGACATGGGGGACAGGGGAGACTGCCCTGTCCTATAGGAAGATCTGTCTGAAGTAGGGCTGGGAGAAGGACAGCACACAGGAAGCAAATTCAGGGTTCATTATGGAGCCAGCTTTCCTTTGAGATAGTTTGATCTTTAGCAACCATTTTGTCCTTCTAGCCCTTGAATACTTAGTCTGTGTTTTGAGGAGGAGGAAGGTATGTCTAGGAGTTGGGAGGTGATAGGACAGAGTCCCACAGCTTTTGTCTCATGCTGTTGGGAACTGAAGACGCTTGGCAACCTAGACTTGAGAAGGAAGAGTATTGTGAAAAGGCTTGGCCTGCCTAGGGTGGGGCAGGCGAGCAGGAGGAAGTGGCCCTCTGTAAGGAGAGTTGTGGAGTTGGGGGCAGGGGAACTGGGAGCCCACAGTGGGAAGGTCTATGGTACGAACTGAGATCTGCCTGGAGTGGAGCACTGGTGGTCTGGTACTAAGGGTTGGTGAGTCAGCATTAGGCAGGATGGGCCCCCTTGTCTTTGGCTTTGTCCTGGGCACCCTTGCTCTTTATGGCTTGGATAGATACCCAGCAGGCCTGCTTATCCAATTTGTGGCTGACATAAAGCCAGCAGGGATTTGCAGCTGATAGGCTCAAGGCAGGGTCATATTCAGAGAGACTGCAGTAGATTAGAATAGGGCTGGAATAGGACCAGGGAGACTTGGTTTGGCCCCATGTTAGTTCTGGGGGTTGTGATTATTGGCTTAAGCTAGCAGTAACAGGACTACTGAAAATTAACAAACCACAAGAATAGAAGTGTGGTGACTTGGCAAGGGAGGGAACAGCTGCACTGTTCGGGTCAGGTTTCACCAGGTGCACCAAGTTTGGTTCTGGTAGTCATATACAAAGAAAGCATTAGAGAAGAGTGAACACCTGAGAGTAGAAGGGACCTGTCCTCTAGGAAGGGGGCACACTTGGACTGTGTGACCCAGAGGCTGGGACTCTTGCCCTGAGATTACATGAGGAATATAATTGTCTGGCCTCACGGGGCCTCCATCCTAGGAGCAGACAGCCTTTCTGGGAAGGGCCTGGTCTGGGGGATCAGGAGGGCCATTCTTGGGCTCCTGACTCCCATCAGTTTCTAGACCTTACTCCTCTGGCTTCCAGCTTCCAGTATTCTTTCTCATCAGGTGCTAGACTGTTTGCTGAAGCTCCAGAGTGGTTATTGAGTACATGCTTTGTGTCTTGTCCATCTTTTCAGGGTCTCTAGGACTGCTTGGATTTACTTTAATTCATCCTAGACCCACAACTCAGCTGAGCTCCGAAGGGCAGGCAGGACTGAGCCTTATCTGACATTCCATACACTTCAGCACTTGGGATATTTTTTGGTGCTTAAAAGTCATAGCTGGGCTGAAAGGAGAGCCCAAGAAAGGCAGGTTGGACTAAAGGCTCCAGGTTTGGGGTGCCTGGGTGGCTCTGTCGGTTGAGTGTCTGACTCTTGATTTTGGTTCCAGTCATGATCCTAGGGTTGTGAAATCCAGCCCCACATCAGCTCCAGCCCCAAATTGGGCTCCGTGCTGAGTGTTGAGCCTGCTTAAGATCCTCTGTCTCTCTTTCTTTCTGCCCCTCTCCCTTGCTAGCATGTGTGCTCTCTCTCAAATAAGTAAGTAAATAAATAAATAAATAAATAAATCTAACTAAAGGCTCCGGGGCTGACTTCTCCTCCATGGCCTTTCCCAGGACCGAGAGGAGCGGAAACTGCTGCTGGACCCTAGCAGCCCCCCTACCAAAGCCCTCAATGGAGCTGAGCCCAACTACCACAGCCTGCCTTCCACTCGCACAGATGAGCAGGCCCTGCTCTCCTCCATTCTTGCTAAGACAGCCAGGTGAGCACTGC